AAGTAATGATAAAACATACTGAAACATTTTTCAAGTTTTATAGTTTGACTTTGACTTAAAAATTGCATTGCGTCAACCTATTCCTTAATTTTTAATCTACAGCAATTCTGTTAAAAACAATTTTTATATATTTTTAAAATTTCGATATTTGATGTGTCAGCATGGCCGAGTGGTTAGCGCGCTAAGCTTCTGAACGTAATAGTCGTGGTTCAAATTTACCACCAGCGATTTTTTTTCTTTAAATTACAAAATATTTGTGAAGTTAAACAAGTTAAATGTTATACACTTTAACCGTTTTTTCTTTTTAAATTTTTTAAATTTTTTGGATTTCTAAAAACACCAATAAACGGGGCGAAAATTTGTTGCGTGGGTGAAACGATTTTGATACTTTTCTCACATAATTGGTCCTAATAAGCTACGGATAGTCTAAAAAAAAAGGTCCTAAAACCTAATAAAGAAAAAATTTGATAAAACCGTCCTGCTACTCCACATGGTATTGCAGTGGAGGCAGGGAAAAAAAAAGCAATTAAAAGGTTTTTTGTTATATTTAATTTTTTGCTATAAATATAGCCAGATTAAAAAAATTAAAAAAAATGTATTGAGATTTTTTAGGCGCGGATTTGAAGCCTTGCACAGCGACTCTGATGACTGCGCACTTAACTTGTGAGCTATCAAAGTTATGCATGTAGTTAGGTGCTTCATCATTTTTTAAAAAATGTAAAATGAAAACAAAATAAATACCATAAGTAAGAGCTAAATAATAACGTTTAAAAATTACCAAACTTTTTGTTATAATATTATTAGTTTTTCAACTTTTAAACCACAAAAGTTATAATTTATTTTTTTGCATGACTTTTGACGCTTTAAGCGACTAACGTTTTAAAGAATTGCATTACCGTTTCCGTCTAATACAAAGGTAACTATAAAAGACCGTTATTATTAAAAAATAAACATATAATAATAATAATAATAAATATAGTAAATAGTAACTATTGAAAATGGCTAGGACGCGATCTCAAACCATGGTCTATGGCTGGTCTAAATGTAGGAAGTAGTTTAGTTCAGAATTTAAAAAAAAATAAATAAATAAACGGGGTTTAATAAGCTATATACGTATGCGGAAAAAGTGCGTATGTTAAAGTTTTTTTTTGCTCTCAAAGCAAACTTTATAATGAATTTTTTTCCACCGTTTACTAAAAAATATTGAAGTGAATAAGGAACAAGTAAAGAAATGATTGACGTGGAATAAATAAATATAGAAGTAGAAGAAAAGACCTGTATTTACCGATACGGACAGCTAGATTAAGAAAATAAGGGAAAAGGTTTGTGTGGAATAGAATTACAAAGACCCGTATTTTTACGGGTCAATCCAGCTAGTAATATATTATTATTTAACAGTTTGATGTTTCTTACCACAAAGCAAATAATTTAAGACAAAGCATAATTGCTAATATACAGAAACCAAACAGTGACAAATAGTGGGGAGCTGTATGAGTAATTGTCGATAAAGCAATGTTTCTTCCAAAAGTAATAAAAAACGCCTTGTTACAGAGACTTTTCTTTGTAGTTGAATTAAAACTAACCTTCCATTAAAATTTTTACCAGTAACTAAGGTTATTAGTTGTTAAAAGAAAAAATCGCCAATCATAAAACTAAATAAAAATTTTTCAGTCTTGTAATGAAAAACCTATTAATGTCAGAAAAGACATCAACGTAAAAAAAAAAGTCTGAAGTTTTTCAATGTGTCTTTATTGTATAAATAAGAAAATGGTATTAAAGAAAACTGTGTACATATGAGTAAGTGTCGATAAAATAATGTTTCTTCCAAAAGTAATTAAAAACGCCTTGTTACAGAGACTTTCTTTGTAGTTGAATTAAAACTAACCTTCCATTAAAATTTTTACCAGTAACTAAGGTTATTAGTTGTCAAAGTACAAAATTAATATAATGACTTCCACTTCTTTTAGTGTTTTTAGTTATGAAATCTTTTTAAAAATTACTAAATTAAAATGAAATTTATAAATGATGGTTAATGATTGTTATTGCAATAGAACATGGCCATGTACATAATGTCTAAAGATTTTTGCCTTGAAAAGCATTTTTTTTTTATATTTAATTTTTAATTTTTTTTATGCTCAGAAAAGCTGTTTGTGTTCACTTTGTCTTTAATCTGCTAATCCTTTAGAGCAAGAGAAGCTTTTTTTATTATAAGTGATTTTACCATATCTTCTATTTTGATTTTTTAAATTTAAAGTTTAAACACAGAGTAAAAACAAATTGTGTACTATTAAAGTAGGTGTAAAGATTTCGAAGCTTGCATTAGCTAAAAATTCTTTTGAAAAAAACATTTCTTTCCAAGAAAAAATATCAATGTATAACTAATACCTTTTATTAAGGTATTTAGAAAAGTTAGTTGACTGTAGATACATTCTGAAAACTTAATCACTGGAATTATAAATAGTTTTTGAACAACAAACTTTCAATGAAAATTTAAACTTATTAATAATTTTGATTTTTTTTTAAAAAAATGTTATGGTTAGGATCAATATATATAGATGATAATACAAATAAAGCATTAAATATTTTTTTAAACACATTTCATGACATTTATAACAAAACATGCCCGTATGAATTCAAAATAATTAAAAAAAAAAAAATTGAAAAAAACTCTTATAAAATGTTCAAGAAATAAACAAAAACTTTACAATAAATTTTTAAAAAAACAGAACTGAAGTTAATGAAAAAAGTTACAAAAAATATAAACGATTTTACGAAATTCTTCTTAAAAAAGCTAAGAAAAACATATTATAGTAAAGAAATTACAAAAATCAAATTCGTTGTGAAAAAAAACATGGGATTTAATTAACAATATTATGGGAAGAAAGAAAATAAATACGGCTATACTACCTAAAAGAATAAATATCAATAAAACTGATATCTTTTGTCCATTACAAATCTTGAATGAGTTAAATAAATATTTTACAAACATTGGCCCTAACCTTGCTAAAAAAATTATAACTACACCAAATTCTTTTCAAAAATATTATAAATCTTTAAATGGCGCAATGCGGCAAGATCGCGAATTTTCTTATGAAGAGTATGAAATTGCTTTTTCTTTTTTAAAAAAGAATAAATCACCTGGTTTCGATGATGTTTCTAGTAATAAAGTTATTTCAAACAAAAAATGCATCTCTAAACCTTTGTTCCGTATTATAAAACTTTCAATAAAAAAAGGAATTTTTCCTGAAGCATTAAAGTTGGCAAAAGTCCAACTTACAATAATGATTAATCTGAAATCTCTAATTATAGACCTGTATCAGTACTTTCTGTATTTTCAAAAATATTTGAACGTGTAATTTATAAAAGAATCTATAATCATTTTAATGAAAATAATTTATTTTACTCAAAACAGTTTGGTTTTTGGAAAAAACATTCAACAGAACACGCAATAATTGAAATAGTAGACCAACTTACTAAAAGATTTGAAAATAATAGCTTCACTTTAGGATTATTTATTGACCTATCAAAAGCATTTGATACGGTTGATCATCAAATTCTTTTGGAAAAAATAAAACACTATAAAGGGATAAATAAAACCTATGGTTGGTTAAAAAGCTACCACACTGAGAGAAAACAATATGCTGTTAGTAAGGAATCAGGTCAACTTAATATTTTGTGTGAAGTTCCGCAAGGGTCAATTCTTGGTCCATTTTCTTGATTTATGCAAATAATTTTAATAATGCATCAGCCAAGCTTCACTCAATAATGTTTGCTGACAACACATATTTCTTCCTTTCAAACTGTGACATTAATCAACTGTATTCTGACATGAACACTGAACTAATGAATGTAGATGAATGGTTTAAGACAAATAAACTTTCACTCAATGTAGATAAAACAAAATATACTTTATTTCATAAAAAATCACAAGATGAAAAACTTCCTTTAAAGTTACCTGATTTGATTTTAAATGATGCACTAATTAGTAAAAATGATTCAATAAAATTCTTGAAAATTCCTTTTGATGAAAATTTATCATGGCTTCCCCATATTATTAAAACAATTGGTCTAATGTACCGTATTTGTCCATATGTAACATCAAAAAGTCTGAAATTAGTATATTTTGGCCTAATACATTGTTTCATATACTATGCCAATATAAAAAAATATTTTCTTACCAAAAACATGCATGCAAACTTATATATATATATATATAATATGAACATGCAAAACCATTAATGGAAGACATGAAAATGATGTATATATATGAAATCAACATTTACTAACACAATTTTTATGTATAAATGTAACAACAGCTTGATTCCAAAAAACTTTAATGATAAATTTACAATAAATGTAAACAAAAAATATTCTCTTAGAATAAACCAATGGAATACTTATATTTTTATATTATTATAAATTACCAAGAATTAATAGTATGTATTCTGAATATGGAATAACATACCGTGGACCAAAACAATGGAACACTTATCAAAAAACAAAAAATTTAAATACTGTAAAATCAATAAATTTCTTTAAGTTTATAATAAAAAATGAAATTTTTAAATTAGATAAATAGTTTTCTTGATTTTTCAAAATAAAAAAACAAGTTTTATTATTCTTAGTTTTTTTACTTGTTAATTGGTTCTTATTTTGATATTTAACAGAGTTGCCAATATATTTTAATGAGTATTAATAAAATTATATGATGTTATTTACTTTCTTGATTTAATAGAAATATTTAAGCAAGCTTTAACCTTTTTATTATATTGAAGATACAATTTTTTTAACTTGTCAAGCCCACATAGGGGCTGTATGAAAAGATTGTGGTGACTTTAGTCATCCGTATCTTCTTTGAGCCTCTGCCTGTTTATTATAAATTCACTTTTTTTTGTATGTAAACGTTTCTTTGTAATTATATTTTTTATTATATAAACAGCAAATATATATTAAATATTAAAATAAAAAAACTTTTTATTTTTCAAAACTTATTTTCTTACCTTAAATTTGCATCCAATATTCAAATACTGACATGGAATAATTGTATTAGCACAACTATCAGTAATATGGGAAGACATCTACAAAAAGTTTCAAAGATTAAGTTTTTACCCAAGTGAGTTTATTGTTTCAGTAAAAACATGTTTAAAAAATGTATTAAAGAAGTGTTTAAGAAGTCTAGACTTAAAACCAACGTTGTTTTGACGTTTTTAGCGTGTCAAGTGTTTACTTAGGTAAAAAAGGATACTTTATATATTAAACAGCTACTTCAATTTTAAATCAAACCTTTTTACGCAAAATTTTCATACCACATTGATTTACACAACAAAGAGGTAAACATTCGCAGTTTTCTTCATGACTCTAAATGTAAATTTACGGGAAAATTAAAATTTTTTCTTAATTTCTAATAAATTTAACATTTTTTTTAGCACATTCATCAATTAACATTTTCATCATCATTACAATCATCATCATTATTATCATAAAGGCCGTCCCGAGGAGACGCGTCGGAGGGTGTCTTACCCCAACAGAAAAAACATGCAAAAATAATTAGGTGTATTTACACACTGGAGTCGGCAAATAATAGCCAACGACAACCTTTTTTGTTAACATCTTATTTAGCAAAAGTTTTTTCTAGGCCTTAAATGGCAAAAAAACAGACATGTTAAATCCCTCTCCTCCCAATTCCTTATCAAGAACTCTTTGGGAACCTAGTATATACACTTAAGTTGGGCCAAAGTATGAAAATGCACCACAAATGTTGGCTGTTTTCTCCGATGCTAATACAACGTTAATCCAATGTTAGTTTTATTATATTTATATTAATAAAAAAAACCTTGTTAACAACGTGACTAAAAACAGTTAGAAAAATTACATTGGTCTAATGTATGTAAAAATATCGCAAAAGTTGGTTATTTTTCCGATCTAAACCCAACATTGATCCAATCTTTAGGGATCAACGTTGATCCAATGTATATGGATCAATGTTGATCAAATGTGTATAACCCCATATTGATCCAATGTGTATAAATTAACGTTGATATAATGTCTATAACTCAATGTTAATCTAATATATATGGATTAACGTTGAACTATATACCATAGATCAACGTTGCTCAATATACATTTAAATCAGTTGAGTTTTATGCAGTGGATAAACGTTGTGTTTTCACTGAGAAAAAGCAGGTAAACAAATATATATTCGTATAGTTTAAAAAAATTATTTTTCTAAATATTTTAACTGATTATGGAAATAAAGTTTGCTATTATATTTTTCTTTATCTAATATAACAAGTTATCAAGACACAAGAAAAATAAACATGAATAATGCGTTTTTATTCAGATGTGTTAATTACAAAGTGTAAACATTAAATTTATAAGTATAAACAAATGTTGACTAATCAAAATGGATGAAAGATATGTATACGTATATATATAAAAAAATATATGCGCACAAATACATGATATCGAATATGTATAAATATACTTTTTATATCGAGTATGCATATATATACTAGAATATAAAACCAAATAAATTTAATTCCGAAAGAAGTTAAATATAAGGTTGTGTAAACGTAAAATATAACGTTGAGTCTACTTAAAATATAACGTTTCACCAACGTAAAATACAACGTTGTACCAATATAAAGTACAATGTTGAATCAACGTAAAGTATAATGCAATGCCGACTTAAAATACAACGTTAGACCGACGTTATTTTTTGGTTGTTGGCGACGTCGCATTTGAAACCAAAATCATATAAACAGAACGTTGGCGGTCAATGTTGGGTTTAACACAACTTTGGCGGTCAATATTGGGCTGTTGCAATACTGACGAGTTGCGAAAATCTTTTTTTTTTCTTCATAAAAACAACAGATTTGTTTGTAAAGTAAAAAGGAAATTTTACTTCACTAAATAACTATTGGTTCAAAAAACACGTAAAATGCAATATTTTTTATGCGCATGCGCTAAATTCTACAGTGCTGCTGTGTAGCACAAAAGGGGTAATTAGGATGATTACGCGTAATTTCTGGCGTTTCTGAGGGAAGACTCTAACATTTAATGATATTGTCAAGTTATGCTTGATGCTAACCAGTCCCATCCTCCGCTATGCAATCATAGGAACAGTAGTTGCCTGTGATTGCATACTTGTGCTTTTTTTTTAAATAAAATTAACTAATAAAAAAATAAAACTGATTAAAACCCCTAGGATTATTTTTGTTCTACATTTAACAAATAATGTATCCATATCAAAACTTTTGTTCTTTTTCTTCAGGATACTGAATAATAAAGCTTTGAAGTTAATCATGCCACCATAGGCGCCTTTCCCCTATTTAAGAAAACTAAATAAATATAAAACATATTTTATATTTAATATTAAACTTAATGTTTTAAAATATGCATTTATGTTTATTGTATATTTTTTTATTATTATTATTTGTTGTTAATATTAATTGTGGTTTTTTTATGGTAAAATATATTTATAATTACTAATAAAGGTATTTTTATAGATGTATAAAAAAAAACTTATGCCGTTGATCATAACATTTATATTTCTAAATTAGAACATTATGGTATTCGTGGTGTTGTAAGTGACTTGTTTTAATCTTATGTTACAGATCGAAAACAACTTGTAAGTTTTAATGGTTATAATTCATACAATTCAATGTCATACAATAATCTCCAAGTGTTTAAAAATTAAAACCATTTAAATTTTGAACAACCTTGGCTATTATTTTAAGAATTTAAAATGATATCATTAATTCATTATAGCATGATAACATTCTAAAGTGGCTGATTTCTAATTTTTATAATTTTTTTTTTAAAGAAAACACATATTCCATTTTCTAAGTTTTCCATGGGTATATATGCGCCTTCTGCTCTGTATTATGTTTCAGAATTGTGTGAAGTCGACTTTTTTGCATTACTGTTCTACAAAGTTCTCTGAGAGTTATTTTAGAATGTAATCAATTTACATTCTTATTTTATATAGACAACTTTTAATTTACTTTACAAATTATATAAAATCTATGGTTATGTAATTTAAATTTTATTTCATATAAATTATTTTTAACAATAAGTTGTTATTATTTTTTAAATGAAAATTTCTTCTTAAAAAACAATACTTTATTTGTAAATAAAATTTACATTTAGTTACTAAAAAATGTTCAAGTTATTCTAAAAAATAAAATAACAGGAAGTCATAAATGTCTTGCTAATGTAAACTTTTACAAATTTGCGGAATATGCTGACACTTTAATAAAAAGAGTCTTTTAGAATTGTTTGCTTTTGCCTAATTTTTTTTAAACACTTTTTAAAACGGGGGTAGTTTTTTATGCTCACTTATTTTTAAAGTGTTTTAGAAGATCCTGAAAAACTATAACTTATATATATATATATATATATATATATATATATATATATATATATATATATATATATATATATATATATATATATATATATATATATATATATATAAGAACTAAAAATAAGATTTAATAAAAAACAAATGAACAATAATCAAAGCAACCAATACTCTAATAGACTGTTTTAGATGAAAATAAACTTTTAGAGTAATTTGTAATTTTGCAAAATGAATATATAAAGAAAATTATATTTTGGCATATATTTTTTTTTTTACATCTTTTAACACATTTTAGTTTTTAATTTTAAACTTATCTATTTGTATAGTATAGTTTAAATTTAAATCTATTTGTATTGTATAGTTTAAATTATAAAAAGACTTTAAATGCAGTTAGCTCTTGTTAAAAAACGTTTAAACATTTTTTTAAAGGCCAAGTGCAAGTAGTTGCAAATCTGTCTACATAACACTTATGCTAATTCATGCATTTTTGTCAATTGAATAACTTTACTTTTGCATTCAATAGAGAAACACAAAAATAAAAAAATTATTTTACAAAAAAAAAAGCGTCAGTCGATGGTAACTAAAATTCGTTTAAAAAATTTTAAATTTTCGTAAGTTTAATTATAGTTTATAAATGGAATTCAAACTTCGTTAGAGTTTAGTGGGTTCTGCATTTTGATGTTTTGAAGTGGTGATAAATTAAAATTTACAATCCTCTTGGCGTTAACTGGTTGGAGTAACAACTCCAGTTCTATTGGAATTAAAAGGATGGGGCAAAGAAAATTACAAAAGCTTGGCTTTAAAAACAAAAAAAGGTTTTAAAACATCTCTAGATGTATCCTTAAATATTATATAATGCATCAATTCAATTAAATTTCAATTTTATATATTCTAAAACAATAATTTGTAAGTTTTTAACAACATATACAAATAGTACTAGTCCTAGTTTGTAGTAAATACTTTACAGTAACTTTACTTTAAAGATGACGAAAATAGTAGTACTATAAATACTTTACAGTAACTTTACTATAAAGATGACAAAAATAGTAGTACTATAAATACTTTACAGTAACTTTACTTTAAAGATGACAAAAATAGTAGTACTATAAATACTTTACAGTAACTTTACTTTAAAGATGACGACTGTAAAATATTTATAGTACTACTATTTTTGTCATGTTTAAAATAAAGTTACTGTAAAGTATTTATAGTACTACTATTTTTGTCATCTTTAAAGTAAAGTTACTGTAAAGTATTTATAGTACTACTATTTTTGTCATCTTTATAGAAAAGTTACTGTAAAGTATTTATAGTACTACTATTTTCAAGATGACAAAAATAGTAGTACTATAAACACTTTACAGTAACTTTACTATAAAGATGACAAAAATAGTAGTACTATAAATACTTTACAGTAACTTTACTTTAAAGATGACAAAAATAGTTGTACTATAAATATTTTACAGTAACTTTACTATAAAGATGACAAAAATAGTAGTACTATAAATACTTTACAGTAACTTTATTTTAAAGATGACAAAAATAGTAGTACTATAAATACTTTACAGTAAATTTACTTTAAAGATGACAAAAATAGTAGTACTATAAATACTTTACAGTAACTTTACTATAAAGATGACAAAAATAGTAGTACTATAAATACTTTACAGTAACTTTACTTTAAAGATGACAAAAATAGTGGTACTATAAATACTTTACAGTAACTTTACTATAAAGATGACAAAAATAGTAGTACTATAAACACTTTACAGTAACTTTACTATAAAGATGACAAAAATAGTAGTACTATAAACACTTTACAGTAACTTTACTATAAATATGACAAAAATAGTAGTACTATAAATACTTTACAGTAACTTTACTTTAAAGATGACAAAAATAGTTGTAATATAAATATTTTACAGTAACTTTACTATAAAGATGACAAAAATAGTAGTACTATAAATACTTTACAGTAACTTTACTTTAAAGATGACAAAAATAGTAGTACTATAAATACTTTACAGTAACTTTACTATAAAGATGACAAAAATAGTAGTACTATAAATACTTTACAGTAACTTTACTTTAAAGATGACAAAAATAGTTGTACTATAAATATTTTACAGTAACTTTACTATAAAGATGACAAAAATAGTAGTACTATAAATACTTTACAGTAACTTTATTTTAAAGATGACAAAAATAGTAGTACTATAAATACTTTACAGTAAATTTACTTTAAAGATGACAAAAATAGTAGTACTATAAATACTTTACAGTAACTTTACTATAAAGATGACAAAAATAGTAGTACTATAAATACTTTACAGTAACTTTACTATAAAGATGACAAAAATAGTAGTACTATAAATACTTTACAGTAACTTTACTTTAAAGATGACAAAAATAGTGGTACTATAAATACTTTACAGTAACTTTACTATAAAGATGACAAAAATAGTAGTACTATAAACACTTTACAGTAACTTTACTATAAATATGACAAAAATAGTAGTACTATAAATACTTTACAGTAACTTTACTTTAAAGATGACAAAAATAGTTGTAATATAAATATTTTACAGTAACTTTACTATAAAGATGACAAAAATAGTAGTACTATAAATACTTTACAGTAACTTTACTTTAAAGATGACAAAAATAGTAGTACTATAAATACTTTACAGTAACTTTACTATAAAGATGACAAAAATAGTAGTACTATAAATACTTTACAGTAACTTTACTATAAAGATGACAAAAATAGTAGTACTATAAATACTTTACAGTAACTTTATTTTAAAGATGACAAAAATAGTGGTACTATAAATACTTTACAGTAACTTTACTATAAAGATGACAAAAATAGTAGTACTATAAATACTTTAGAGTAACTTTACTATAAAGATGACAAAAATAGTAGTACTATAAATACTTTACAGTAACTTTATTTTAAAATGGCAAAAATAGTACTATAAATACTTTACTGTAACTTTACTTTAAAGATGACAAAAATAATAGTACTTATAATACTTTACAGTAACTTTACTTTAAAGATGACTAAAATAGTAGTATTTATAAGATAGTAGTATATTAAGGTATAAAAGTAAGGTATAAAAACAGTAGTATATTAAGGTATAATAATAACAATAAATTACAAATTTAACATTTGAGGTTTTTAGAATTAATATCTTTCTGAAAAATAGCAAAAAAAAAAAACTGTTTTAAATTAGTTATTTAGCTCAATTGATTTTATTCGAAAAAGGAAGACTGTTTCAAGAATTTAGATTTTTTCTTTTTTACGGCCATATTTTAGAGCAGAATAATTTGTTTCATAAAAATTATAAATACTTGAAGATTATAGTTGAAAGCAACAGCTTTTTACATATTAAAAAAATTTGCAAATAAGCGGGATTGTTGTTTTTATTTATGATGAAAGACAAATGATATTTAATAACTGAAATAGCTGAAAGAGATCATTGATTTTGAGCATTTTAGATAGAAAGTAAAGTTGATCCGGAATAAAATAATAGTGATTTAAAAAAAATTTGTAATGTCTTGTTTTGTAATTCGGATAATCTTAAAACTTCTTGTTAGCGGATTTGTACCAAAACCTGAAATATATATTTAGTATGAGCACAAAGATAAACATAGTGAATAAAATTCAAGATTAACATAGTGACAAGTTAATATCCTTTTAATCTACATAGTTTTAGTGAATTTCAAAAGGTGTGTTAAATTTAGTTAATAAAAAGTAATGAAGAAAGAATGTTATCTATGTCTTTAATGTCAAAAGATGTTAGAAAAATAATGATTTTACGTTACCGAATTTATAGAAAAATGATATATTATTGTTGTGACAAACACAAAAATTTTTCCTAGCTGGCAGAGAACGTCCGCTGGATGTCTTAAGGGCGTCCTACGAACTTTTGACATCCATGAGACTTCAAATAAAGGTCAAACAGACATCTATGCCCGCTCGATTAATATAAATAAGTAAAGGAAATTCTACTATATAATAAAAAACAAACTAAACACAGAATATAAAATAAATAAAATAACATATAATTTTACTTGATTGTTACAAAAAACAATCTTTTGTTCGCAATATCGACAGGTAACCAAACGATAAATGCAATGCTTTTCCATGTGGTCACTTAGTTCTTTACGCAAAAGTGTAGCAGAGCATTGTTCGTTGAGGCATTTTACTTCTTGATATTCACAAGAGGTTAAATGGTTCTTAAACAGAAAAGATTAAACATATTTAAACTATTTTTGTATTAAAACTATTTTCAAGTACATTATAATAACGTTAACTGTTAACTGTATATATTAGAATAACGTTAACTGCTAAAACTTTTTTTTTATTTCTGCTTACTTTTCGCTAATGCTACTTAGAGTAATAAAATCTGATTTGAACCGCGATAAATGCGTATCACAAGCTAAATTTCTTTAAAATATATTGAGATTTTTAAGGAGGAGTGCAAGAAGCAAACAACTATGTTTAAAGTCTTACTTAAAATTTGAAATTACACTTAAGCTTATGCAAAGAACAAATATAAACTCAATCGTAATTTTGGGTAACTGCGCAAAAAATTTAAATTTTTTTGCTATGTGTTTCTAAAATCTGGCTTTAAACTTCTCCAATATTTATAAAATTTCGTTTAGTTTATCTGAAAATTTTTATCATAGGAATTTTTTTTACCCATTTAAGAAGTATTTTTCATGAGTGTCTTAATTATGTCCTAAGTTAACCGGGAATTTGGTTAACTTTGCGCAGCCTTATAAAATTTGAAAAAAACCGTTTATGTAAATTTCGCTATATAAACTCTTTTTATCATACTGTTTAATGGAAATTCTAAAAAGAGCTTAAAAATGTATAAAAATTTAAAAAAAAATTAAATCAGATTTACTATTATTTTGGTTTATAGAGAATTTAACATGATAAAAGAAACACAGTCGTATTTAAAACTGATAAGCAAAAAGTTTCTTTTAATGTAGGCAATTATATTTATTTTAAATAAGAAATAAAAGCTAACTAAACAAACTTCAAGAGGCCTAATGAAGCTCTAATAAAGATACTTTGTAAAGTTCTCTAGTTTAGGCTACTTCTTGATTAAAAACAAATATTTTTCCATTCATAAAATTTTTCTAGAGTGTCAGCCCCAGAAAAAAGTTCAATATAAATTTATATAAATTTTTGATACATATCGCCTATAGAAGCTCTATAGAATTCTATAGAATTTCTATAGAGTTTCTGTTAACTTCTATAAAAATTCCTGTTGAAAATTTTTTTTCTAATTTTTTTTTATTGAAAAAAAGTTTTATAGCGATATCTATAGAAATTAATAGATATTCTCTAGAAATTCTATAGAGTCTCTATAGGCCATATATTTGAAAAGTTTATAGAAAATTCTATTGAACTTTTTTTCTACTTTTTGTTTGAGCCAATATCAAAACTCTTATCAAATTTGTCTAAATCTTTGTGCCATCACATTTTCCTCCAGGAACAAAAAACTTTTTTTTTTGTTTTTTAGTTTTTGCAGAGTACAAGAATTTTTTTTTTTAAAAAAACTAAATTGTATGAGTAATTGATAAACATTTACTGGATAAATACCACACTTTCAAAAACCTGATTTTCTGGGCATTTATTACAACTCTATCTTTGTAAAAATGAATTGATTAAAATCAGGCCCAGGAAATACTTTAAATTTTTTTACTTTCCTTTCTCAACTAATTAGATAATTATTCATAAAACAACGTAATCTTCTATACCAATTCGAAATGCAAAGTCATTCAATTGAATTTTACACTTCACAAAAACAGCCTTCACGAATTGGAAAAAAGCATGTTTTACCAGGTTTTAGATTATATATATATATATATATATATATATATATATATATATATATATATATATATATATATATATATATATATATATATATATATATATATATATATATATATATATATATATATATATATAGGAAACTATATACTATATATATATATAGGAAACTATATACTACTGTCAGGTCAGGAGTATGGTCTTCATGATCATCCTGCTACTGGTAACATGTAACCCAGTGCAACCTGTTCCATGTTCTACTGCCTTGCAGGATTTGCTTTCTAAGCAAAAGCTGGAAGGAGTGTTCTTCCTGTCATCAGTTCTATCTAATATCAGTCATGCCTATAGTAATATTTTTTTTTTATTTATTTTTTCATATAGTTGGAGGTGCCTTAGTTACTGTATTAGCTCACCTGTAATCTACGTTATATGTATGTTTGTATTGTGTCTGAACCATAGCGTTCTCTACTACAGGCCTATTCATCGCGCAACCGGATTTTTTTGTGGAGGCCTACTTTTTTACGGCAAAAAAGATAATAACTTCGTAATTTTAAAACTAAAAAGTAATTTTAATTTTCTGTATAGCCTAATAATTTTTTTTGATGAAAAAAGAAAATTAATATTAAGTAATAAACAATGTGAATAAAAGGCAAAGAAATTTTTTCTAATTTCAAATTTCACACATTTACATAATTATATTATTTCACCTTATTAACAATTAGTTTTGGCTTTAACAGCTAAATACAAAATTGATATATTCTTATATTGAGTAGAAATGTTATTAAACCAAACAAAAAATATTAGATAAAATTTGATTAAAATTGTTAACAAAATCTGAAAAAAAAAACAACTAATATATGAAACTTTTATAAATCTTTTATAAAAAAGTATACTGAATATATTATAAACAGTAGACAACTAAGTAGACTTTAAAGAGATTTTTAATAACTTTAGTGCAGGTTCTTTGCCAGATCTTGGAGTGACAGTGGTACATAAATTTTTTGAAAAAATGTTGCTCAATATTACACAATGATGTTCTTCCATATCCAATAAATAATAGTCTGATATAATCATAAAAATACTACTTAAAGATTTTCAGCATACATGATCTTTAACTATTTGAAAAACTACAAAACAAAAAAATGTCCATTGGCATGAATTATCAGTTGGAATTTTTAATCTACCACGATCCAAAAATTTAGAAAACTGACCATATTTCTGATAATAGAACGTTGTTTGATCTAAAAGTTCATAATCAGTTTGTTCTTTATCATTTCGTGTAACATAACCAGCAATGTGAATAAGTGACATTTTAACATCATCAGCAATAGAAGGATCTAGATCTTGCAAGTTATCAAGAATTTCGCAGCAGTCTTCAGACAATTTGTAATCACATAACGCACATTGATGACCAGACTTCACATTAAAATTGTCAATATCTACATTTAACTTCAAAAGTAAAGATGCATGTTTGATACGTAATTTTTCAATAACTTGTTGAACACTAAGAAAATATGTACCACAAGAACCTTGACGAAGTATGCTATATTCTTTTTCCAGGTGATCTGAAGTAAATTGACCAAGAAGTACATAGTTTTGCGTAGTGTTAAGTAAATATCTACATAAATCTACTAATCCATAACAATTTTGATGTATACAAGTTGCAGTATCTTTAGAAAGCTGTTTAATACGCTTACCTTTGGGACCAGCCATTTTAAGTGCCATATCACCAAATTGTAGTATTAAATTTAAACGGTTGTCATCAGGATTGTTGATAACAGCCTGCAAAGGATCATTATGCCTTGTATCAGCACCAATGGCTTTGACATTTAAAATTTTCCACCAAATAATAACTTTATTAATAAATATAGCAGTGTCGTTAACAGCAATATGTATCATGTCAGGATGTTGCAAAAGAGCAGCATAAGTTTTTTCTGAAAATACTCTTAAAACTGTTAATATACACTGTCGTTCAACAGGTTTAGGAGAAATAGAAGTTTCATTCAGGTCAGATAATTTTAGAAAGCTTCTAATTCTGCATTGTAAAGCTGCTCTAAATGAGTCCATTTTGCAATCCTGGTTACTCCGTTATCGTCAAATATTAATTCCTGAGTTTTTTTAGTTAACCAAAGATTACGAATATTTTTTATGAGGTGTACAAAATCATAAAGTAAATACTTTCCATCTACTGTTAACCATGGTTTTCCCGGAATGAATGTTTTAAGAAAAGTCTGATTGACACGATTCCCATCACATATAACAGCTTTTACATTTGTACTGACTGAATCAATTATTTGACTAGCTAATTAATCTGTTCAAACAGAAAATCAGATCGTAATTTTGATATTGGTATCATTTTAATTAACACCTTTGGACCCCCATTTAAACAAACAGCCATAATCCCTAACAATGTTTTGGACAATTCCACTGGGTTATCCTCCGATCTACCAAAAATAGTTCCACCATGGTAAAACAAACTTTTTTTAACATATATTTCATCATGTAGTATGATACATAATTTCTGCTTATCCGGAAGAGAGTTAAAAATTAAATAAATAAATTTGTTTTCATTAATATTAGAAATTTTTGAAGTAATTCGAGTCAGTGTTGAAATAGATGGAAGTTGATAATCATTTCTTAAGCGATTATATAATGCCCTTGATGTTAAGAAATATACAAAAATCTCCAACTAATTTTGGTCCCATAACTCAAACATGTTGCATAATTACTTCTTTTTTATTATCAATTTTCAAAAAGCTTTAAAAACGAAGTATCTCATCAAACTTAGACCAGGAGTCAACAGTTAAGATTCGATTTACTGTTAAGCTAGAAATGTGACACTTAATCCCATAATGAAATGTTTCAAAGGTAAGATTTTCATAAATTTTAAGTACAAAAAAAAGTATTCCATTAAAAAATTGCAAAGATTGTATAACAACATAACCATCAACCATAAACGATATAACTGGATATTGGTGATCACTGCTATCAATAAACTTGTTTTTAATGTCACAAAAAGTAGCTTTATCCCTTTTAAGAAATGTATCTAGCTCATCATCTATTATACTTCTAATGCCACTTAAAGATCTTTTGGTAGATCTTTCAGTTGGATAACCAGTTGGAGGCCAGTGTAACTCACAGATAACAGTATACGTAAGTTGATTTATGTTTGTTTGTGTTTTGTTTATACTTTAATGCAGCGTGAGCTCAGTAACTAACTACTTACTCCAACTACAAAACCTACACTCACCTTAGACTCCTGTATTTTGTTAGATGCAGTTTTTTTCCTAATGCACTTCCAAAATGTCATGCCTGGTTTTCTCAAAGTACTGTCGCGGGAAGTAACTCCTTTTAACTACTCCAGGTTAGGTCAGGATAATCGAGACCAATCTTGCTACTGGTATCACGTAACCAAGTACCACCTGCC